TCCGACCCCGAAGTCGTCAAGCACCCGAACGGGTCGCGAGGGCCAGTCGCCGCCGGCGACGGTTTGTACGCACTGGTGCGCGATCTGGTTCTTCAACCGCCTGATGCCCGCTGATGTTCAGACGTTGCAGGTCGACGGGATGCTTCATGCTCTTCCATATGTCGATGGCCACCGTCTTGAAGTTTGGGCGCGGCTTTTCTTTGCGCACGCGCAAGACGTCAAAGGACGCCCCATCGCCGCTCAGTGCGCACTCCACAATGCCGCCCGGCTGAGACGCGTGTCGGGCGCGCGAGGAAGAGGACAGGGGCAGCTGAGGACGAAACGGCCCGCAGATGTCGTTCACGTCGCCCACGCAAAGCGCCATGTCGTGGTGTCTCACTAGAAAATCGATGGAGTTGTACGAGGCCGGCTTCCACTTCAAGAGGTTGCGCCATTAACACCTGACGGGATACGGGTCGGCTTCTGGGACGAAGATCAAGCCGTCCGACTGCGGTCCGATGAGGGAGTCCAGCGTCGTCCGCATGCCCCATCGGTAGCTATGGTACGGCTTTTCCACCAGCCTCCAACCGCCCGTCAACGGCTGCGTGGCGACGACGTCCCTCAGACGCGCGAGCCGCGCCATCAGAGGTTCGTCCGGGTTCCCTCGCAGGTCCTTACCGTCGTGGAGCAACAGATCGAACGCGTGGACCGTGCGGCCAATTCTGTCCACCTCGACGCCCAGGACGTGACGCACCGGCGCGGCCGTTGACGCCCCGGCGGCGTCAGCGTGCAAGAGCAGGTTCCCTCGTTCGAAATCGAGCTTTTCGGTCACTTGATGTGCCACGTCTCCGGTTGCGCGCCAACGAACATCGGAGGCCGCAAACCGAACGCCGCCATGTACGCCGTCCGGACGGCGTGATGAGGTCCTTTGAACGTACACAGGGCCTCCACGATGGAGCCGACCGTGGAAAGGAGCCCGTCCACGTCCCCCTTGCCGTGCACCACGTCGACCTCGACCTCGTGTGAAGGCACGCCCAACGTGGTCGCCTCCGTCACGTCGATGCGCACTTCGCGGACGTCGTCCACCACGGACCACCGCCGCTTCACGCGCGACAAGACGATCCTCTGTCCAGAAGGCGGCGGGGTTGCGACGGGCTCCTCCGCGGTCAGCGCGAGGCGCACTCCCTCGTCCAGGTCCATCGTGTTGCGTTTGATCTTTTTCTGATAGACTCCCGACTCTCTACGTAGCCCGTTTGAATACATGTGACACGTAGTGAGGGTCTCCCGCGCTGTAGGGGCGTGGCGTTTCAACAGGTCCATGTCTCTGACGGCCGCGAGCCCTTCCGCCGACGTCTTGAGGCGGGTTTCCAGTTCCACGCGCGGATCCGCGTTGGTTAAGGACATCCCTATGGAAAGTCGTGCTCTGACTGTGATTGCCGTCTCTGGCCCTGCCCGCCAACCTCAAGCTCTTTTATGCACTGTTCCGCGTCTCGACATGACACTGCACCGCGACTTAGCGATTGAGGAGTTGGGCGGCAAGCCTTACGCGTAGCATTCATCTCATCCCTACGAGCCCATTTGCCCGCTTACAGAACGATCATGAGCTTCAGCACCCCGGCGAGCGGGCTCCTCGTGAACGGGGAGAGAACAGATTTGACTGTGTTGTTCACGTAGTCCGGGATGTGTTCAATCGTATCCATGATCAATCCAACAAGTACGTCTGCAAAAAGAGCTGTCATGCCATGCAATCCGGTGTTGAAAGAACCGTTTTCAAGGATTCGCCACTTGCTCAAACATGCGTTGAGTCTTTAGAAAGTATGAGGGGCATGACTTGTAGAACGTACAGCCGACGTATCGTGGACACCGCACCACCTCCCAGTAGGCCTTGACGATCTTCCAAGCGATGTTGGTGCTGGAGACGTTTGAGCTTGAACTCCTGACTGGGGCTCTCGGATCGGATCCGGAGGAGACGTTGAGAACGTCCGCAGTGCTGGGGCCTGTATTTGCAACCTCAAGCGTTCCAACTCAATGTCCGTTATGGAGATTCTGGAGGCGATCATGACGGACACGACGGAGAGCAAGGTGTACCACAGCCAGTAGCATATCACGGACCTCCTGCACTTGGCCGTCGCGAGGGCCCAGGGCGAGCGAGGCAGGTAGGTACACGGCAAGAGCAGCATGTTATAACTCCCCCGGTTTGGGCTGCCCGTGACCACTGACGTGATTTTGGCCAGACCTATAAAAGGCGACGCCTCGCGCGGCCCCCCGTCCTTGTTTTTCTGTTGGCTCTTTACAATGGACCTGCGCAAGGAAAAGGTTTTGGACAGCCTTATACTGCACGCAAGGAAGCCGCCTACCACGCGCAAGAACGGAAACGAGCGAGCGAAAGCACGCTAGAGGAACTTCGTCAACAAGTATGGACGAGCGCTCACGGCCGGCTTGTACTGCCAGTGGACAAAAGTTGGAGACCCCCAAAAAAAATCGTGCACTGCGCGGCGGCTGTGAGGGGATCTCCGACTTCTGTCCTCTGGCTGTATATGCTTGAACTGCAAGTTGAGACTTCGGGAATTCTTGTCATCGTTCGGTAGGTTGATTCCAACGAGTTTGCATTTTAAATTTTTTCTGCACAGACTAAAAAAAACCATTTTTTTTTCTTGACAACAGGTTTGGTCCGCAGCCAGGCGAAAATGCGATTGCAAATTATTCATTTGATCCCGGCGTTTACAATCATCATTGCTGGAATCATCTCTGCGCTTGTCAGCTCGTTCCTTCCCGCTAACGGCGGTGAAATCAGTGGAAGCGAGAGAGACGAGCTGCTTGTGTACGATATCCTCTCAAATGCTCTCAACATGTTTGAGACAACCGGCGCGCGGCTTGGGCGGAATGTTTTTGAGAGTGAACGCCAAGCCAACGGGCATTCTCCGCACGGCCGGTTTTACGGCCCGTTGTGCACAGCGCCGGAAGGAAGCACAGGAGCGCCAGGAACTTGCGCGTCGCAACCTTGAGAATCTGCCCAAAATCGGCTACTACATTGCGCTTGCGTTGGCAGTCGGCCAGGTGACGTGGGCACAAAGGATCGACAAGAACATGTTTTACAACCTCGTCGCCTGCCCAACATGCAATTTACGGTTTCCCACCGGCAAGGTCAAGACTCCCAGAAGCAATCCTGAGATCGAAGTGCACGGACTTTCGCACGGGATCAAACGCGACGATTTCATTACCACCACAAAGATCATGTTTCTCCACCACGTCATCACCCATGCCGAGTACGGCAGCAGCAAAGAGCTTGGCGAAATTATCGAGTTTGTCTCCGTCGACGAGCTTCTTAGCGAGGGCGAGGTGATTGCTGACTACCCTTCTGCTCTATTCAAAGGATGGGTGCGAGCTGTTGACCTGGGCAAGATTGTGCCCATGTCTCGCGCGGTGATGGGAGAAATCAGGGAAATACCGCCTTCGCCGGGCAACGGCGACGGCAACGGCGATGACGACGACGAACTGGAAATCTCAACTCCGGAAGGTGGCGAGCCGGGTGATTCTTTTGCCGAGTCTGTCGATGAGACTGAGCAAAGCGCAAACTATCGTCGATACGCTCAAGACTATGGCCGCCAAGCAGCTCTCGACTTTATTTTCGGCCTCGATATGGCCACCGAAGAAGGCCGGCCCACAGGCGCTGTTCCCGGCTTACAGACACCTGCCCAGCATGCACTTTGGGGCCTCCAGCCTGACCTGCGCAAGTTTGTCGGCACACGGAACTCTGCATGGTGGACCACCATGATCAACACTCGCATGAAGCTAGACGGACCAACGGGGTACAGAATGGAAGTGGGTAGCTTGTACCAACACCCCGCAATGCGATTGTGTGCAGTGGCCGTTTTCGAGAGCATTGCCGGCAGCGCTCGCACTATGCCCGAGTATCCCTAGCCACCACTGATAACGACAGCGACGATACTGTCCTTTCCGCCCCCCTTCCTCACAAGACCTGCACGACCTCGCTCTCACTAGTCTACGCTATGCGCAAAACACTTACAATGATGCCATCAGCAGCAGCATCGGCGAGATCAAGACACGCATCTCGCCAATGCTGCTGCTGATGGTAACATCATCTTGAGTGCTTTGCGCAATGCAGTGATGTCTATGCCGGACATCCTTGCGCGGAAGCTGCTTCGTGACCAACGTGACTTGCCCATTTTTGACAACATTAAGCTTGGCGGATAGACTCGAGTTCAATCAGAGAGCAAGTTGATGTAGCTGCGTATTTGGTATTGGCTGCGATTGCCCTTACCTTCTCGGAATAACAGAAACTTTGACAAATGCTAATATTATGGCACGCTGAACCCTGCCCAATTCTGAGAGCGCGGACCGTTGATACATCTGGTGCTCAGCTACAGGCTTATGCTGCCTGTCTGGGACGCTGTGGCAGCTTTTTCTTCAGTTCCAAATCGGGCATCATCGTGCCGAATGTGCTCTATAACTCTGGAGATGTGGGCAGTCATGCATCCGAGGTTCGTGAGGATATGAAAGAATATTGTCGATACTCGCCTTACAGGGAGCGCACGAGCATGCTAAGCTTAGTATCTGGCAACTGGTCTGATGCCGTAACATGCCACAGAAGACAGCGCAGCGCCAGATGTCCGGGCCGCCGAATCAAGGCACTGTCTCGGTCGCTTACGTCCTGGTGGCAGACCACCAGATGCAGCTTGTTAGCTTAAAGACCCGGCCAATGGGGCCGATGGCCGTGGGCCTGCCAACTTCGACATGATTGATTCCGACAGATGGACGATGAGTCATAATTCCGGAACCTTGTGCATGCCATTGCAAAATAAACTATGTACGCCGCAAGCTCTCGATGACCAATGTAGTCGAACAAACATTGCTCTAGGTCTCCGCGAACTGCTCCAGCCAGCAAAGATCATGAGCCACTGCTTTGGCGGCAGTTTTTTCTGGCTAGGGCGTCGACACAAGCGGCTGAGTACAAAAATTTCATCTCTACAACAATACTTAGGCTCACAGCGATCAAAAAGAGTTGTATAGCTCAATGGCAGAGCGGTCGCCTGCAGAGCGACAGGTTCTGAGTTCAATTCTCAGTGCAACCTCTAGTGCGAGGATGTGCCCAACTTTTGTTTAGCGAATTTGCAGGCTGACGGTAGGCAACGGGAAAGCGCAAGCGGGGCAGCACTGAGATACTATCTAGCATGCACGGTGAGTCACCGCGTTTCTGGTTGATTTACCTTCCCATTGCCTCTCTTCGTTTTGGGCAGAGGCACTGGAAATGCTCCTAAATGTAAACTAAAGTATTCTTCACAAGTCGTGAGTAGGTAAGAATGGCCCAAATTGCGATGTATTGTGAATGAAGCTGGATTACAAACAGATTTAGCGGAAGGGGTCTGGCTACTTGATAATAGGACTTCCACAACTGCTCTTAATAGCGACTCCCTGTTTATCTTCCCAAAGGCGCGACGCTCGCCAGCGCATCCACTGCTGCCTCCAAAGCCTCCATATCCATTCGCGCTTGATAGGCCCAATCAACAACTTCCCCGCTTACTGGCACGCCATTAGAGTCTAGTGCGCAAGACTGTGCCAATTCGAGTCGTGCTGAGAAAGAAGAGCGAAAGATGGCCGCTTGCATATACGCGTGTGCTGATGCCGAGGACGTGGAAAAGATGCTGGAAACAAAGTTCGGTAGCGGCGTTGCGAGCGTTGGAAGGAAGGGTACGTAAGGCGGTGTCACGAATGTCGTCATTGCTGTGGGCGTTGCCTCCGCATAGTCTCGTAAAGGCTCGTCTGCACATGGAAACGGAGCAAGAGTCGTAGCAGCCGCAAAAGAAGCAGTACTGCTGGCGCCACTATGTAACGCAGCAAATGTTGGATTCGATTGGGTCCCTCCGTTATCCTGGTCCCTGGACGCTTGCACACTCTGGCGCGGCGCCGCCGCAGTGCCAAGACGCCTCGCCATGCGTAGGCTAGCCCAAAAGGCCTCATCCAGAGCCCGCGCTACCTCCTCGTCTTCCTCCTCCTCCTCGTAGCGCTCGCCGAGTACCTCCTTTTCTTCATCATCGTCGCCGTACCGGTGTACTGTTCTCATGGCTGATGACGGAAGCGACGATGGCGCAAGATCGAATAAGAGCTGGGTATTGCTTGGGCCGAGGATTCTGGCGCGCGAGAGCTGTGGGGGAGAAAAATCATCCGAGGCCCACGAGGAGCTTGAGTCTGACCGTGATCGTCGACGGTGCAACTGTGGTTCTGGTGTTGTCAACGAGTCTTCCATGGCGTGGGATGGGTGAGGCAGAAGAGCGTGAGGGGAACAACCGGACATGCATATCGGCTACATTGTGCTGCTAAGAGCGAAGCAAAGCGGAAACGGGAGTGAGCGTGAGCGAAAACCGCGCGTGACTCATCGCTGCTTTTCTCCTTTCCCCAACATCCGTTCGCTTTCGCAGCTGCCTTGATGTGTGGCCCTTCGCTCAATGCTTGAGGCACCGTACACCGAGAGGGGGCTTCTGCTGCCCACAAATTCCGCCAATATCTGGCGGGGCGGACCTAACAGTCGCGGAGCGGACAAACCGCAATCTTTGCACGTTGGCTACAAATGCAGCCCACGCTGAACGGCCTGTCTAATTGACTCAACTTGGCATTGCGTCGCTCGCAGCCCGCTCGCAGCCCAGCAAAACTTCACTTGCGCAACATGTCAAGCACTTAGAATGTGGCAAAATTAGAATGACGAGAGTGGGATTTGAACCCACGCCTCCGGAGAGATCAGGGCCTTAACCTGACGCCTTAGACCAACTCGGCCATCTCGCCTGTTGAAAGCGCTCAGCGCATGAGTTAATAACAGCAAGCTTCATTGAAGGGTGCACGTAACGGGTTCAACTGTGCAAGCGTTTTTAAAGTTCAAATGCATCGGATTAAAACATATGGGCCATGTAAAATGAAAGAATTCTACCATGTAACAAGAGATGTTCGAAATATATTACGAGTACGAACACCCCGTCCAGCGCAACGTCTGAACTTGCGGGGCGCGGCGCAGCCATGTTGTTCGGCTCATCGACTTCGCCGCTATTTGTGATCCGTTGGAAGACATGTCTCGCGCCACATACTTGTTTCTGGTCGGCCAATTAATAAATTCGAGGCATTGTCCCTCGGTGACGGTGATCCTCCTTTGCAAGCGCTGCATTTACTTCCGCTCGCTCTTATATTTGCCGTCGAGCGGCTCCGCGACTTCTAGTCCGGACGCTCGATCATGCTGCAGGCACAGATTCACCAAGATTGGCTCCGCTCCTTTCCTCCGAGCTCTGCGACTATGGTCAATGTTACTGGAATTCCATGCCTGGCTCTGCGCTGCCGGGCAACCTCCCTTGCAAGCAACCTTTGACCGTCTTTAGACTTATGCATGTATTTTACGCAACTATTATACTGCAAACTTGCTCCGCAACATTTCTTAAGATCAGCTCCGCTTGAGGTGATAGTGCGCTAGCAAAAAGAATGTACCTCGACGAAGAGGATTTCCCCCTATGGCAAAGATCATAACCAAATCATACTAGCTTGTCCGACTGTCCGACTGTCCCCCTCCCCCCCTCCCCCACCAAAAAAAATCCAGCCCGGCCCCATCTTGTCCTCCAGCTGATCATCAGTCTTTTTTCTCCACAGTAAGCACGACCTTTTCAGAAATATTATCAACAATGCCCGACAACACTTACCGTACTTACCAGCGCCAGCTGAAGCTCTACCGCAAAGTGGTAAGTTGACGCAGGGGCGGAGGAAGTAGGTGAGAAACATCACTCTGCTCACTTGGCGCGCATCTCGTCCACCGTCTTCGCAGACCACGCCGACCCTCGCAATTGGCAAAATTATTGTCGAGCAACGAGGAGAAGGCATTTGGCCAATTCGCACACGCGAGGTAGAGCGCCTAACAGCCCTTTTCCACGACTTGAGGTCCGGGAAAATGGGTTCCGACGCGCTCGAGTACAGCTTGTCGACTTCGTCGCTGGCTGTGGTCCTCAGGGATCAACTTCTCGGGCTGCTTGTCGTACGCCCTTCCAGCATCGGCGTTTCTAAGCGGCGAAGATAGCCTCGGTACTTCATGCTATCTGATTCAGCTTTCGGCTATAGCGGTCAGTCTTTTCAATGAGGACTACAGCCGTGGCTGTGTCAGCGCTTTGGCATCGTTGATGGGTTCCCTTCGATGGGACAGATGGAATGGAGGGCTTTTGAGGCGCTCGGATGGACAACTCCTCGCAACACTATTAGCGACTCTATCACCAGTAGCACAAGAGCGGACAGCAGCAAGCACCTTGCCAACGCAATCAGCGGCGCCGCATTGCTGGCAGACACTATTCGGCTTTTCGACATCCTGCTTGTATCTTTAGCCACCACTGATAGCGACAGCGACCCTGCTGCCTTACAGGGTCGCTGCCTTACCTATTTCCCGCCCACCATCCTCACAAGACCTGCGCGAGCTCGCTCTCACCAGTCTCCGCTATGCGCAAACCACTTAAAATGGTGCCATCAGCAGCAGCATCGCAGCTCAGTCTTGATCTGCCAATGCTGCTGCTGATGGTAACATCATCTTGAGTGCTTTGCGCAATGATGCTCAGCTCGGACATCATTGCGTGGAAACTGCTTCGTGACCGACGTGACTCGCCCAGTGCGTTTTCGACAACAATAAGCCTGGCGGATAGACTCAGTGAGCAAGTCGACGTAGCTGCGTATTTGGTATCGGTGCGATTCGATACCCCGGCTTTCTCGGCGCCGAAGTGCCGTGGCTGGCGGCGGTGGCGGCCTGTGGCGCTGTTCGTGTGATGGGGAGACGCTGGGTACGTTTGTGGGTTCAATCGCAGAGCGTGGAAACGTCGCAGTCCTAACCTTCCTTCTTTTTGCAGCACAAGGAAGAGAAGGAGGCAACTCGCTACCGCTTTCGCGATCTTGACGAGCGCATGAAGTTCCTCGCTCGTCTCGCTGCGACCGGCGAGGAGGCTGGTTCCGGACAGCGACTCAATGTTTCCCGAGGCGTGTCAGCGGGTTGATGCGCATGATCGCCGGATGCATTACATGACCCGCGCGCGCAACCTGATAACGCCAGGTGGTGCAACGATTGGTCTACACGCTTCCACCCGCTCGCGTACGGCACGCCGACATATGAATACACGGTTCACCAGTGCCGTGTTGAGATTCCCATGCGAATGTGCGCAGCACACGGACTGGAGGGTAGTATAGTAGCTCAGGTCGCGCGCGTTCCGGCCTCTCCTTCAAGATTTCTTCCCATCGACGGAAAGCGCACTGCTGAACTTTCTTGCACCCACCCACCACTTCCCTTATTTGTATCTTATACTGTGTAGTCGAAGGGGGAAGGACCTCCCTTCGGCCCTTTCTACGCGCTTGTTTACGGCCTGTGTTGCCACGCGCCCTCGCACTCGCAGCGGGGCATTTAGGTAGACCTGGCGGCGCGGGACCCCATCCATGTTGTTTCGGAAAAAAAATAAAAAGAAACAAGCCTAAATTAACCTTTTTCACGTCACCGGCCCAGCTGCCGTCGTTCAGCTTGGCAGATTTAACTTGCTTCGCGGAAAATCTATACTATGTCAGCCAGCTGTCAATGATAATGAAGGTGCTTTCAACACTCCCGGTTGCCCGTGAAAATTATTGTCCTTTCCAAACCATCCGGAGGGATGGCGGGCGCCGGTACAACGTAATTTAAAGTGATTAAGTGGCCTCAATGAGGTTGAGGTTGGCATTGCAGATCGCCGACAGCAGGCGCGAACCCGCATCAGCGTCGGCACCTGTCATATTTGAGATTGACGGCTGTCCTACACACAAAAGCGAAGCAAGACGTTTGAAATTCAAGCGTTGAGCAGCTGAGGAAACTGCTGGGAAAGCTGCGGAGTCGGCACCATGGGGAGGTGACAATGAGACGGGAGTGTGGGAAATCAAATGCATGACTACGTTTTGATCCTCCGGCAAAGGTGCTAGCCCGACCGGAAATTAAATTCGAGGTAGCCTTCATTGATAGGAGATTTTTCAAAGCACTCTTAGCCAGTTTCGCGACCACGAAAACCTTCTTCATCTCGTCCTCCGCGGCGACAAAGGGGCCCGACTATCT